CAATCCACCTCATAGAGGGCCTTCCCCTCCTGCGTTGTCCCTCCACCCTCCCAAGCATGATGTCCCTGGCCGAGGACCGGTATCTCCTTACAACATGACCAAAGTATGTCAGATGAAGCCTTAGAATCCTTGCCTCCAAGGAGCAGCCGGATGAATCTGTTTGTTTTCTTAGCAGTCCATGGTACTCTCAATACTCTTCTCCAACACCAAAGCTCAGAAGCATCAATTCTCCTTCTATCCTCTCTAATCATTGTCCAACTATTTGATGCATAACAAATGATTGCAAAGACCATGGCCTGTATCAGACGCAGTTTAGTCTCCAGATAGAAACCATTGCTCTTCAGTACTTTAGGGAGGTCCCTAACAGCAGACTTTTAAAACAGTAAAGAATTTATACTGTATGACTACCTAGTTCAGGTGAAAAAAGCAAATAAGTAGAAGTCTAAAGTAATTACCTTTTTCCAGAGGTGTGTGTATAGGAGGGCAATGGAGTAAAGTGACTGTTTACTTAGACTGGATTGAATATATTTTAGTGTTGGAATAATTTGCAAGAAGAGTCAAAATATCTGCACCTCAGTAATTGCGTCCAAGTCACTGTAGTATACTTTTAGATAGGAGTAACTTTTTTTATGCACTGTTATGTGCCAGTTACAATAATTTTTAAAGTATACAGAGAACAATGACAAAAAATGTTAGTGTCATAATGGTGTAATAGAACAAATCTACTCTTTATTCATGGTTAGGAACTAGAATGGTAAGCAATGTTTTAGGTTTATGTTCTGTTACATGATGTAATTAAATAAATAAATAAATAAATAAATGAAATTTTAGATTAACAAATAATTTCAGTCTTTGAATGCAACTTAGTTGACATGTATATCATTTTTTATATACTTATATTTGTCAACATTTTGTTTCAAAGATTTGAAACAAGAGTTAGAATAATAACCTATAATTTCTTTGCATTTTGACATGTTTGTCAGGATTTACATTAATATTATTTCCTAATGAGACCAAAAAGCATTTGACCAAAGAGAACAAGGGATCATTGCAAGGCTTGAAATTCAGAAAGTGCTGTGTTAAGGGTTTTATCTTTTCTACATAGCTCTTCAATTTGCATGCTCAGTAAATCATTCAAGAAGCTGGAATACTTGAAGAAGAATATGACATAAGGTTTGCAGGAAGTCTCATAAAAAACCGGTGGTATGCAATTAACACAATCTTGTTGGAAAAAAGTGAAGATTTGAAGCGGTTACTGCAGAAGAGGAAAACTACAGTAGTCATTCCATATGGATTATATTACAATATAAAAAAATCCTCAGCACGGGATGAATAGGAAACATGTGACAGATGGAGTAAAAATTAAATTCGTCAACAATTTTTTATTACTTGGACCCATAAAAAATCAGAAGGTATGTTCCATTGGGAAAATCTTATCATAGACTTCTCCAAAATTCTAAAGAATAAGAATATCAATTTAAATACTAAAATCCACCTGATTCTAGTAATGGTATTTTAAATTGTTTCATATGCATCTGAAATTGGACAGTGAATAATTGTGGTCAAAGAAGAATCTAAAAAAAAGATTTAATTCCTTTAAGTTATGATATTATTAGAATATTACGTTTACCATGAACTGCCAAAAGAACAAACAAGTCTGTTTTGGAAGAAGTGCAACAAGAGCCCTCCTTAAAGAAAAGGTAGTGAAACTACATTTCATATACTTTGAGTATATTAAAAGGAAAGTCCTTAGGAAAAATAAATCATGTAGTGAAAGCTAGAAGTACGCAAAGAGAGGATAATCTTGAAGGAGATGAATAGACACAGTGACTCTACAGTGTGTTCAAGCATGGCAAAGATCCTAAGTATGAAACATGACAGGACACACTTCTGATCTGTTGTTCACAGGGTCACAATGAGTCCTAGTTTACTTTATGACAACATCCAACAGTAACAAGAACAACAATGAGCATTTGTTTTAACTATTTCCTGCTTCTTAGATAAGAACAGAGATTAATGAAATTAGAGAAGACACTTATTCCAATAAAAATGTTGATCTTTTCTATTATTTTAAGGCTTCCCAAAGTACTTCATGTATAACTCTCAAGGGGACTAACTCTATATTTATTAGAATCCTTCATTCTTAACTCACCCATTATCATTGAGATGGAATCAACTCATAGTTCACCCTCCAATAATAAGTATTCAGAGTGTGTAAATCACATGGTAGGTAGTTGTGGTGCTAGCCCAAATTTGAATTCTTCTAGCCATTACCTTGGTCCCCTCTGGTCTCCAGCTACCTTAACTGCAGACACATCAACAGTTGTGGGACTTAGACAAGTGAGAGAGCGCTTCCCACACTGAGTAGAAGACCTGAGGCAGACAGTCGCCAGACCCTGGTGGTGAAACCCTGGTGGTGGTGGTGGACAGACTGTGCCATTTCTGTGGATTAACTGTGGCTAGGTATAACAGAGGTCTAGAGGAACCCTGAAATATAGGCCACAGTTAAGGTTTAGCTGTGCTTGCTAGAAAATTAAGGAGAAGCTGACTTGTAACACTCTGAGACAAATCTTGCTGCATGATTAAGGAAATAAGAGGCTCCTTGAATTTGTGTTGCTGAACGTCAACCAGAGCCTGGACTAATTGAAGCGCCGTGCCTTGGGACTGCCTAGCTAAACCTGGATTTGCACTGGGTGATACTCTTTGCCTCCTCAACTCTCTAACTTATTTCCTGAACAACCCCATTGTTAGTTCATAACTGTGAGTAAATTCTGTGAGTCAGCAACATATAAATTAGCCTCTTGCTGTTGGTGTGGCTCCAGAGGCACCGTGTGGCTCTTTATCTGCTTTCTGCTCTGCAATGGTGTGGGGCTATGTATTCTCACTCCCTCCGTCCCTTTCAGGTTATGTGCTCCAATGTCTGTTTTCTTCTCTCTAGACCATAGTCCACCTTTCTTCTACAGAGCAGCTGGTGGATTTGAACTACCAGCCTACGTAGGCCACCAGAGTCTCCTTCTCTTATGCTTATTGGACCCTATTTTAATGAACATTTACAGAGAAGTTAGATTTTCATTCATTCATTGTGGCACACTTTACCCTTTCACTCTCCCTTCCCCTCTCCCCAGTTCACTTTTTTTTTTAATATTCATTCGTTGGTAAAAAATTACCTATGTACTCTCCCTCTCCCCCCTGTCATCTTTGCAATGACACATCTCTTATTTTGGGTTGTTGTTGTATGTATAATGCCTAATCATATATTCATTTTAGACAGTTCTTTCTGAGTGAAATATCTCAGTCACAGAAGGACAAATAGCATCACTGTTATAAAGCAGGTCTGATACGGGGAGTTGGGAAGAGAGTAGGATAAGAGTGGATAGATAATGACCATTGCATTGGAACAGCTGAAAGAAATAACTGGTCCTGAATTTAAAAACTCTTGTTTTCCTACTTAGTCACCTACAAGTTTGTGTTTGGTTTTTCCTTGGGTGGTTTTTGTTTTGTTTTGTTTTTGTTGTCTTGGTTTTGGATATTTTTTGTTTGTTTGTTTTGTGTGTGTGTGTATAGATATATCCAATAAGAAGCTAACGTCTTCATGGTAAAAATGGCAGTCTGTCTGACTTGTGCTGACCTGTTTGGTGAGAAATTGATCCCTGAAATTCAAGCTTCCCTGAGTGTCCAGAATTCTAATATTGGTTCTCTAAAACTTCGTGATGCTGCGAGTCTTCCTGCTTAGCTGCCACTTTATTCTCAGATTTGTAAACTCTCATCACGCCTTGTTTATAATGAGTACCTAAATTACCTGAAAGAAAACGATAGTATGGATTTTTTAGTGCATGATATTGAATTTACTTTTAACTGAAGGATAGTGGACCTTAAAGTGCTGACTACCTTAGTTAATTTGCTGTTACACATAATTTCCATGTCCTCAGTAAGGGATTTAATATCTGTGAGATATGCCATGGCAGTGTAAGTATGTTTTTATATTAACTTAAAAGATGTTTTTACAGGTTAAGAGCTTTTATTATTTTTATGTTTAACAATTCTTGGTAGGGAGCTCTGGTGGCCTAGTGTGTAAAGAGTTATACTGACAATCGAAAGTCAAGTTGTTTGAATCCACCAACTGCTCTGTAGAAGAAAGTTTGGGAGAAAGATTCTCCCATGTGATTTATAGACTCTGACAAGCCACTAATAAGTCAACTATGATTCTGTTCTGAACTGACAGCAATGAATGAATGAGTGAATTCATTTTTTAAAAATAAATTTTAAAATGTCATCAAAATTCTTACTTGCTTCTATTTGGCCCATTTTTTCATTTAAGTATGTCATATTGGTGGTTTTAACATCCCTTGAGAAACTACAATCTTAAAAATTAACTTAATGCTAAAACAACCTATGAGACTGACTGATGTAGTAATCAAATTAAACTTCATGGACTTTCCAAAATCTAAAAATGTGTTACAAGCATAAACTACTTAAAATACTTGAGTAGTATTTTCTGTATACATTATGGCTTAACCAGTTGAATGAATATGAAATAGCTTTTTTGCCATTTAATTATCAGTCTTTTTTTACAAATAATATGTTCTTATTTTTATAAAAATACCTACTTCTACAACGTAACATTTAGTAAAACATTGTAAGAATCATAATTATTATAATAATATAATTAGTTAATTGAATATCAAGTGAAAAAATATTTTATTACTCATTGCTTTTAAAATAAATGTTAATAAATTACTATTTCTCTGGATTTTTCTAACTTAACTTACCACATCCTAATAAATATAGGCAATATATGTTTTAATTTTTTTGCTAAGACACAAAATTTAAAAATATCCATTTAATTAATTTAAAATAATCTAAAATGTATTTCTTGAATTTTAGTAAATGGCAAAATTGAAACAAAACAATCATTTTCAACGTAACATTCTCAAAGTTTGTGTCTAGATCTGGACTGGCAGTGTCAATTTCTTACGTGATCTTTCTTTTGTGGTTCACAGATTGTCGGCAAACAGCCATTCTCTGACACCTCAAAGTGACATGGACTCTAGTAGCTCCGAAGAATTCTATCAGGCAGTTCATCACGCAGAACAAACTTTCAGAAAAATGGAAAATTACTTGAAGCAACAGCAACTCTGTGACGTTATCCTCATTGTTGGGAACCGAAAGATCCCCGCACATCGGTACAGTGGTCTTTATTTATTGGTCAAATGTTGCTGTGCTTTTACAAGTGATAGATTGATTCTAGAGATTGAAAAATATTTGACAATAATTGCCAACCTGAGAAACTACATTTCCAAGCAAACTTAGGTGTCTTTTTACAATTTTGTTTTCTTTTTCACTTGCAAGGAAGTTATGTACCTTAAGTAGTTCATTTTACTTTAAAAAGGCACATGACAATTCTATTTTAAAAGGTAAAATTCTTATAACTACATGGTATCAATGGACAGAAGTACTCCTTATTATCTGGTTCAATCAATTATAATTTAGGTGGATGTGCTTTGCCTAAGATTTGAATTGAAGTATATTTCTCTGCCAATTTTAAAAGAAAATTAGGCTACATTTGAGACATATTATTTGCTCCAAATAAGACATTCAGAGTACTTTAGAAATGCATTTTTCTTTCTCTTTCACTGAAAAGAGTCTAACTTATGATGTCGGTCGATGCATTCAGTAGACTACAACCCATAGTAACTTTCTGAAAACCAGATCTGGCCTTGCCCTGTCCTGCATGGCCCCATGATTGTTGATATGCTCAAGCCTATTGGTACAATCACTAGGTCAGTTCATCTCGTTGAAGATCCTTATGCTAAAGGCCTATGAAGGCTAAAGCATTAGCACCTTATTACTAAAACTCTAGAAATTTGGTACTAATTGTGTATCTTCTAAAATGTTTCTTTAAATTTTAAGCAGAAAGAGTACTTAATTGAGATGCCATTTACTTCCAAGAGTTGAATATATGTGGAAGCAGCCTCAGACTTTCTTGAAATAAATCACATTTCTTACTATAAATATTAAAGGATTAAAAGTAAGATAAAGTATCCAAGGACAAAGGGACATTTTCAATATTTTCCCCTACTTCATATTGTTAAATTTAAATGGAATTATCTGGATGTTATGTATTCAACTATGTGTGAAAACCTGGAAGATTTGGCATTATTTATTGCCTTAGAACATTGAACTGAGTATTACTGAATATTGAATTGATTCTGAACATTAAGGTGTAAAAGCTGAAGTTCTAATACTCGAAGAATATAAGAAGACAAATTTGATACTGAATAACTAATCAGTCATTTATGCTTTTAATCTACCAGCTAGCTATGGCACAAATGTCGATATATTGTTTATGATAATTTAAATTCCAAAATGCTGAAGAAAGAATTTTTTTTTTCTTCAAAGAGAAAAGCAAACTGAGGGGAGGGGTGGGTAGGAAGGAATGTGCACAACAAGTATGAATGGAAGTCCAAAGTCTCTGTAAACTTTCATTAAAATGAAAACAAACACAAAAAGTTTATTATTTTAGAGAACTCTGACGGCCTAGTGGCAAGAAGCTACACTGCAATCCTGAAGACATGGGGTTCAAGGCCACAAGATGCTCCGTGGGAGAAGGATGGGCAATCTCCTCCGTTGCAGTTAACTGCCTCTGAAAACCAGCTGGAGGGTCAGCTATGAGTCAGTTCCAACTCTATGGTACACAAGAACAACAACAACATTATTATTATTTTATGATTACAGTTTGAGAAAGTAATTAATGCAAGTAGTAGTCATCATTATGTTGAACATTTTATTGTAGTGTTTTAGTAAAAATTATGATTATTCTCTGTTTTTAAATTTCTAACATCTCAAATTTCAAAATATTGTTGCTTAAATTAATGCTAGAAAATCTTAAGATTGTGTCCTTATTATCACTTAAAGTTTTAAATTTTAATAATTATGCAGGTTAATGTTGACTTTTTCTTAACTTTCTCCTAGAATTTTGAATGTATGTAATCCATCTGATTAATATAAAATGGTTTAGTTAATATCTATTATGTTTAAAAAAGGACTTTGAAATTTAGTTACCACTTTAAAACAAAACAAAGAGAGCTCTGGTTGGCAGAGTTCATAGCAAGTGAACCTGCTATCAAAGGCTGAACTTCACTAAAGTCTTCCAATTATCAGAGAAGTTCAACCTTTGATAAATAGATCAGTCTGCACATAAAATTTGCTCAAGTCCATACTTTCTATCAATCAAGTCCGTACTTTCCAACCACTATTCCTTCCCCATTGTTTCCAACTTTTGTCTTCCAGTCCCCAATAATTATGAATACATCTTAACTGCATATTTTGTCAAATTAGAACCGCATAAGTTGTTAAAATCTCTGTCTCCTCTTTGTCTTTAGGTGTTGGTGCATATGTTTGAATAATATTCATATTAACAGGTTTTCCTTGGCTATGCAGAATCAGGATGGATGGTGAAAAGATTGAGATTGTTCACAGCTTTGGTTTACTTGGCTCTACAGTCAACACTCTTGGCACCGGCAGCCAGGAAATTAAAAGATGTATTGCAATGAGAAAGTCTGCTGTCAGGGACCTCTCAAAAGTACTGAAGAGCAGTGATGCCACACTGGAGAATAAGGTGCAGCTGATACAGGCCATGATCTTTGCAATTGCTTGCTATACATCAGAGAGCTGGAAAATGACTAGGGAGGATAGGAGGACAATTGATGCCTTTGAGCTGTGGTGTTGGAATATTGAACATACCATGGACTGCTAAGAAAATGAACAGGTTCAAACTGGAGAGGTCTAAAACAGGATGTTCCTTGGAGGCAAGGCTTCTTCTGACATCCTTTGGACCTGCTGCAAGGAGGGACCTTGAAGACCGGTCCTTGGAGAGGGACATCATTCTTGGAAGGGTTGAGGGACAGCACAGGGAACAAAGACACTCTATGAAATGGATTGATTCAGTAACTGTCATACCTCTAAAATCTAACCATTAAAACAACCAGGCATACAAACATCAGAGTACAGGACACACTTTTCAGACCACAGCTGAGGTCAATGGTGGCACAGCAGCGTGGGTTCCTGGATGGAGGTATTGGCACAGACTGTGTTTCAGCTGCATTTTTAGTGCTGGTTCTTCGTACAAGCCCAAGGTCTCAAAAGGACCCTCTAGTCCACATTGATGTCTGCTTGGTGCCCATAGAAATCCACTGAAGTTCAATAGGGTACTCCTGAATGAATTATCTTCTTTTTCTAAAAAGAAGTCATTTTACTTTTCCCCCTTTGATGCCACTTTAAAGCTCTGTATTTGACAACTATTAATTTTCAGCAGCAGGTGAGGTATTTGTCTTTATATAAAGTAAACATTACCAGAGATCTTCCAGCATTGTCTGATACCCTATCAGCTATGAAAAACACTTATTAAAAGTATACTTCTCTTCAAGAATGTACCAATGGTCAGATAAGAAAAATGTCTAAAGTACTAGGGAATAATAGTTGTAATCAACTGCAAGATAACTGATTTCAAATGCAAGATATAATTAAATCAGGAGCACATATGACAATATAATGAAAAGGTTTTCAGAATAGTTAGTCTAAAATCAAGTAATAGAAAATAGTAATCATGTTAATTTAGATAATAATAATAATATAGTAGTAATAATAATAGTAAAAATAGGAATTATGAATGTATTATTGATCTTTTTAATAATTTCATCTGCATCTATCAGCTAAATAATGAGACAAGTGATTGCCCTTGTATTAAGGTGTCTGACAAGAGTACTGCATGTCCCATGAGTTGCCCAAAGAAAAGACAGGTATATATGTCTTGGATAATGTTCAACCGGGGTACACCTTAGACACAAGGATGTTGAAGTTTTGTCATGTATACTTGTTGCCCTTATACTTGCTTATACTTACATAGCATGTTGTTAGGTGGGGGCTCATCCCTGGAAATGGACATCATACTTAGAAAAATAGAAGTTTACAGAAATAAAGACACTCAGTAAGATTTATTTACACAGTGACAGCAGCAAATGGTTCAAATATGCCAGAGGTGATGAAGAGAGAACAAAATAAGTCAGGGTTCAAATCTGTTGTTCTTAGAGTTTCTATGAGTCTTACTCAACTCAGTGGCACCTAACAACAACAAAAGGATATACACAAGGAGCCCTGATGGCTTAGGGTGCAACATACATGCTGTTAACTAAAAAATGAAAGGTCAACAGTGCAAACCCACCAACTACTTCTTGGAAGGAAGATGACAGTTATTCTCTATGAAGATTTGCAGCCTAAATGGAGACTCACTATGATTTGAAATAGATTCGATCAACACCTAACAACAACAAGATTGCAGTGAGCAAGTAATGTATATGTGTAAAAATTATGATTAGATGAAAACAGAAGTTTATAAGAAATTATGAAGGGTGAAAAAGTGGAAAATTTGCAAAATGTTAATGCAAATCCTTGACACTGGAAGACAAAAAATTAAATCAATAGTAAAAATAAATAAAACCAGCAGACTGCTGTATGTTATACTGTTAATAAGAGTCAGAAATGACTGGAAGACAATGATTTTTAGATGGCAAATATACACCAGTACTTGCAAAGGGAAGTAAATTCTTACATTTTCTATCTTCAGAATAATAAAAATCTGTTGTTGTTATGTGCCATTGAGTTCCCCACAGCTCATAATGACTCTTTGTACAATAGATATGAACTTTACCCTATCCTGAGCCAGTCTCACTATTTCTGACACACTTATACCCTTACCCCCATTATTATGTCAGTTGATCTTGTCCTGAGTCTTCGTCTCCTGAACTGTACCTCCACTCTTCCAAGCATGATGCCTTTCTGCAAGGACTAGTCCTTCTTAACAATGTTACCAAAGTGTTGTGGCTAATCTTGAGAAGAATGGTAATCACAGAACACTTGATTGTTATAATGTAAAACCTATACTTGGACCAAAAAACGGTTGTAAGAACAGCTCAAGGTAATATTGTATGGTTCAAATTCAAGAAAAGAGTACATCAGGGATGTGTCATTTCTCCATACCATTTTCAAACTATGTAGAACAGATCATTTGGGAGCCTGGATTTAATTAGGAAGGGTGTGGCATGAGAATTGAAGGAAGACTCATCAACAACCTATGATATTCAGATGACACAACCTTGTATGATGAAACTGAGGACATGAAGTGTTT